TCAGTGAGCTCTTCCCATCATTGGGGAGCAAGCGCTGAAGAGCTGCTCTGCTGCTTCTTCCAGACCTTGGGGACATCGTGGCCAACAGCAGAAACAGCAGTACAGAACATGCGTCTTCAGCCGCTTTGTATCACCAAGCAGCAACAATCCTGAAGGTGATGCCTGAAAGAGAAGCCTGTAAATTCTTCATTGGTGCTTGTTGCCAGAGGGCAGGTTCAGTAAAAGGGCTGCAATGGGCTGGTCATCTAGGATTTTGTGGGGCAGGAATAGCGCAGATTTGCTTTGGCCCTCGTAGGAAGCAAAAGAGATAAATCTGGCAATTCCTCACCTTGCTGTGGTGCAGGAGTTGACTCTTAATGAAATAAATAAATCAGGGAGCCGCCTCTGCAGGTTGCTTATGCGCTCAGATCCCGGCTATAGGCTTTGGTGCTTGGCTTCCAATTCCAGCAGAGAGAAGATTATCTGGGGTTGGGGAGGAGAGGGCTATTTCTGTCGCTCTTCATGCCCGCTGACTCGACTTTACGCTGCGAACACAGACGCTTCACCTGATCAGTTGGGCCCAATCCTGCAGGTGCCTCCCCACAAGCAATCCAGTGAATGAGAACAATCTCCTTGACTTTCAGGAGTGGCTGCTCATATACCTGGGTTTTGAATTTTACCTTTGCTTGAAAGATGCACAACTTAGAATTCTCTAGTTGCTGAACTATTTTATTTCGAGGTGTCCCATTCAAGGGTTGCTCTTCCATGGTTTGTGTTTGTTTTTTTTCAAGTGGAATAAACCCAAAGTCAATTGATGACACTTAAGTGAAGAGCTGTTGTAAGTGTTTGTGTTCTGCTTCAGTGTCATGCTGTGCTTTAAGTAGTGCCTTGAGGAGATGTGATGGAGGATTTGCAGGTCTTAGCTCCCACTTCATCGTCTGGTGGGGAGACAAGGAGGCTCTTCAGCATCACTCAGCAGAGTGGCTGTTTTAATGGATCCAGCTCCAACCTCTGCAGTATTATGGCAAAGTGTCTGCAAGTTGAATGCTTGTAGGAAGGTTGAGGGGCGCAGCTCTGAGTGTGTGCTGGAACAGGAAAATAAGTGCATTCGCTTTTCTCCTTTGTGGGATGCAAGTGCCAACCTCTAAATGTGAAAAGGGAAGAAGTGTGTGTATAGGAGGTAGGGTTGGTGGTACAGAGTAGGCAGCTTGTTGCTGACTCAGTAAACTCCCACTTCACAGATTCACTGTCTCTTCTTGTGTCACAAGTGAGTAACCAGTGCCCTGAAAGTCCTTTTGAGTGTAGTGAGATGAATCTTGTACTAAGGTGAGACAAAACGTACAGGAAATACAAACTTTTTTTTTTTAAAAAAAACAGTTGTGTTTGCCAACACTTGCATGCCCTTTGTAGGGACTGATCTTTGACATGGTTCAGCCGGTCTTTCTCTGCCGCAGCGCTGCGAGGACGGTGATGGCACGAGCACAGTACAATAGCGAGCGGCTCACCTTCCTTTTGGCCCCTGAAATAGTCGCCCGTTGTCCTGGCGCAGCCGGGGGCCGCGTGTGTCTGGCAGGATGTGCTCGGCACGGTGGCAGGCAGATCTGCTGAGCTCATGGAAACTCAGCTTGGTCGAACGCAAGGAACGGCACTTTTTTTTTTCTTCTTTAAATAAAACAGAAACCAAAATGCGATGCCTTGCAAACCCCAGACACCCACACAGCCAGCTCCTGTGTCTGTTTGCAGGTAAACAAATGCTGGGGCCTGAAACTGTGCTGTAGTTAGACTGACCGGTTTGTGCAATGAGAAGTCAATGTGTCATTTTTTCGGTACAGGGAAGAAACCAGGTCATCAGCAAACAGGCATACAGAGTGATGGAGCCAAAGTCTTTCTGAGGCTCTGGGGTCTCTGGAGGGTGCTCGGGGACTTGTACTTAAGTCTGGGAGAAGTTGAGCTGTATCCCCTTCAGGAATACCTCTCAGGGTGATCTTTCTGCTCCTTTAGAGGTTCATTTGCTGGTTTGTTTGAGGAAATGCTGGTGTCGAGTACTTGCAGAATTTGTCTCTTGGTGTTTGTGGATCTCCCCTCTTCATCTCATTCCTGTCTGTAGGCCAGTTGAATCTCCCTTTTGTTCTGTTGTGAGAGCAGGGGAGCTGCTGGAGGATGAGCTGCATGCAGGAAAGCTGAAATGTGGGCGAGCAGAGCAAGCCACGCTTCTCCTCTCCTTATAAATCAGTGTCCTGTTGCTCTTTCCAAGGTGCAGTCCTAAATGCCACCAAGAAAGCTTCCAGCTTTTTTTGGGTAAACAGGGAAATGCTGAAATAAGGTTTCTTTGCTTTAATAAACCTGCAGAATTAGGTCCTTGTTTCTACTTCAGGTGTGTTTTGGAAAATATTTGTTCATCTTTCAGTGAACAATGGCAGAAGTGGCCTGGAAAAGGAGCAGGGTGGGAGTGCCGCGTGTGGTATGCTGAGAGGCATTTCCTGCCCTTATCTCCCCTCCTTCGAGGTATTGTAAATGGGGCTTCAGATCTGCAGCCTGTGTTACTGGAGCAGAGATTGCCAAAAAAGATACCTTCCCAGGC